AGTCATGGTGTTTGAGTGCAGAATTCAGTTATCACTGGTGTTATGGGCTATAGAAAGTCCCATCGCTCGTCAGCCTGACCAAGCGAGTCATGGTGCTTGAGTGTCGAGTGAGTATAAGTCCTTATGTAAGCCATTTGTCTCTGCCTGTGGCAAACTTTGTCCTGTGGATCCTAACACTGGCCATCCTTCCTGTTCTTGGATTGCATTGAGCAGTCTTTTCGCAATGTTCGTCCTGTTCTCTGCTAGCAACCCGCTTGTCTTGTTCTCAGAGACTAAGAGAGTTCTTAGCTGAGGTTGTCAATCAGTTGGTGTAAGCTTAGGTGCTCAGCAGAGGCTTTGGCAAGCGGCTCCGGCAAGGAACCTGTGTGAATGATCAAAGGGGAGACAGAAAAGGAAACCTCATGTGTTGTCCACAGGACACTTTGTGATGTCTGGCGTTATGTGGCATCACCACCACTATTGTCCCTCAGTCGGCAGAGTGTTTGTGCTTTGTGGCGATCCTAAATTCCAACCAATTGCGACCATCCTTAGTTGTCCTGTCATCTTGGATCTGCTGCCTGCCTCCTGTGCAAACTCTTGCTGATCACAATGCTCTTGCTTGTCGAAGATTATCTTGATAACATATCAACTGGTTGTGCTCTGTGGGTGATGTGGGTGCTGTGTGCGCAGGTTGGTAATCCTATGGCCATTTTTTTGGATGAACCAAGCAGTGGCATGGATCCAATGGCAAGGAGAGCAATGTGGGACATTATCTCTTCGGCAATCATGAAGCAGAAGATGTGTATTGTGTTGACAACACACAGTATGGAGGAGTGTGAAGCTCTATGCGGCCGTGTAGGTGTTATGGTGGCTGGCCAACTTGTCTGTCTAGGAAGCACTCAGCATCTTAAGAGCAGATTTGGTGTCGGTGAGTACCTTCTAATTCAAAAGATGACATCCACAGCAGTTTTTTTTTGTGTGCCATGCGTACCAGTTTTAATGTATCCTCCTCCGTTCCAATGTCATCCACATCTATAGAGCCATCACCTTTGCACACTTCTTTTTCAGCAATCGAAGTGCAGCATACTGCATTTCACAAAATTCAAGAGTTGAGACCGAACATGTCAAAGGGAACAAAAAATGTGAATGTTGAAAGTTGAGGCATTAAAAAGAGTAGGCATTATGATCATTGACTGAGAAAAACAGGTTGGTCTTTCTGGGTTAAGGGTGCAAACAACAGGGTATGCATCCTGGGTGGGGAAGGTGACTGATAGGATCGATATCAAGCCCATTGAGGTGGGGCAGAAGCGCTCCTATCTGCCACAACCCGGGATCATAGCGCATGTTTTGAAATTGGCCGGCTTGTAAGCATAGGGCAACGGCTGCCCGAAAAGAAGGTACAAATGGGACGATGGTTACTGTAGAAGGTGAGGACCAGGATAACGAGTGGGAGGTTAAGATTAAACAAGCGGATGCCCGTAGCAGACGCGGTGGAGACCAAGAGGGGAAGAAACAAACACATTACCAACATCAGGGACAGTTCAGTCCTTGACACGGCCAGGCAGTACCAAGCGGGCTGATTGGTACTGAGTGGCCTCATTGATACTACTGCGGCCGGTCGCAGTCTTATATACCCGATTGAACTTCAATCCACAACGAATTCACACGTTCCCATACACGCATGCAATTTCAGAGTAGACTCGAAGGAGGCAAATCCACACAAAACCAGAGAGGAGATATGCACAGAGGAAGTTCAAAATACACAGAGAATTGAAAAACGAATTATAATTCTGCAATCCCTCATCCTCCTCCAATCAATCCAGAATACTTGTTCCAAGAATCCCAACCACGTTATCAACACCCATGGACCAATTATTTAAAAGATTTCATCGAATACTTTGGGAGTCTTCTTCCTCCTCCCTCTTCCTCAAGCTCTAGCTATGGTGCCTGCGGGCACCCAACCTATTAAGCCTGCCAATCGCCACACACCCTCCTAAATCCAACACCCCTCTGCACCACTCAAGAAGCCCACTGCAGATGAAGTGTCCACTCAGCAGGGGAGCACAGCTCCCAGGATGATGAAGAAGAACAGCAAATCGATGAAGATGAAGATCTGCCACTTCGAAGCAGGCATAGAGAAGCTGCTTGGATGGCAGCTGTCAAAACCCCAATAGGACAGCTATGGAGGAAGCACCATGCAGAGCAGGGCCTGATGTCCCTGGGCCAATTCTGCACCAGCCAGGTAAGCCCAGTTATGGCCGTCAACTTCCCTTCAACGAGGAAGACGAACGGGCACTTTGAATTAGCGCAGCTCCAGCCGCGACCTCCAGCAGCACTTCGTGAAAAAAAAAATGACGAAGCAGAACCCGAAATTTGTCGGCCCCTGCCTACTTCTACCCGACTTCCTTAGACCTACAACACAATAACCACCTACAGACCTATCTGACCGTCCAAACAGAAAACATCTACGGCCCAACAGTCAAGATCTACCTACATGCATCTAGATGGAATCCTAGACTAAGGGAACCCAAGGCGAGGACACACAAAGAAATACCTACGGGCCTACCAGTTTCCAGAAGGGCAGAAAAGGACAAAACAATAAGGCTGAGTGGCCTAAGACTACGAAGTAGAGACTACTAGCGACAGGTTCAAGGTTCAAGCCCAATAAACCTCAAAAACAGTCGCACACTACAAACACACTACAAGTCACGGGTTCAAGTCCTCCAACGCCCAAAACAGGGAACCAACAAACACAGTTAGTGTACACACAGACAAACACACACACACAATACCAGTCACGGGATCGAATCCCGGAAAGCACAAAACAGGCAGCAACAAAATTAGTGTACAGCCCGCATCTCCCTGCAATTCATTGCAGCAGCATGCGGCGCTGGTTGTACCATGAAGACTGCCCAGTACTATATCGGATATGGTTATGCGACCTTTTTTTGTTTTGTTTTTGCTGGCACCGCCGGCCATTTTGGTCGCACGCCGCCCAGCCTCCGAAGAATGCACTTTAGGGCCGTGCTGCACCAGGCGAGTTTTTGGGTGAGTAGTGCCGCTGCACTCACTCACCCCAATTTCAACGTGGCCTCGTTGTGAGTGTGTTCGGCGGTGAGGCACTCAGGCTTGTCACGCACCCACAGTGAGCACTCACCCCGCGAACTTGCCCGGGTTGAGCAGTGCAGCAAGCCCTGCAGGCCTTTTTTTTTTTTTCCAACACTTGTCAAGTAATATTGCAATACCGCACCGCCCTGGAGCTCCTGAACCGAAACGATGCCAAAGGCGATTTGCCAACGCTGTCATAGAAAACAAAGATAATGTGTGAAATGACCCGCCAAAACACAGACTGAGAACACTGCTGATTTCTGGGATTTGCCGCTGAAATGAATGCCTTGCTGTGATTCCCGCATTCTGCTGTGGTTTTCCAAGTCTGTGTGTGTGTGCGTGCCTGCTGGTTTGCATGCCTTTCTGAGTGCTTGTCGGCTGAGTGTGTGTGTGACCCGCAAGGGTACTTGTTGGTTGAAAGGCCCCGCAGGGCCGGTACTTACCTGTGCCCATGACTTTGAGGGTTGCAGCGGGGAAAACACTAAGTAGCAGGTAGGCCGGTACCACTCAAGTAGTGGTAGAAGTGTCGGGTACTGGAGGCAGAGCAGAAGAAGACAAAAAGTTGGCATTTTTAGAGGCCCAGTAGCAGTAGGTTAGAGGTAGGCTGGTACCAGTCAAAGTAGCCTGAGTCTATCCCCTGTCCGGATGATAGCAGAGCCTGCAATGATGTTTCCCTTCGAAAGGGAGGAGTATGGCGAGCAGCCCAGCCTGAGGAGGAGGAAGAAGGGGACGAAGGAGGAGAGTGGCGAGGTACCTACCTGGCTTGGTCGACACAGTCTTCATCACCTTGTTGGGCGCTGCATCTGGAAGGCCCCAGTTGGGGTAGTGCCGCACCAAGGAAGCTCAGGGCAGAGTCAGGCATGGCGGCTTAGTCAGCAGCGGCATATCTGCTTTGGGTTGTCCTTTGGACAGGAGAGCAGCGACATAGCTGCTTTGCGTTGTCCTTTGCACATGAGGGCAGGGCCCTCGGTAGTCCGCCATAGCCTAGGCATGTGAGAGGTGGATGAAGGGGGGGAATCCATAGCTATGGTGGACCTATTGTGATGTCAGCAGTAAGAGGGAACTTCGGACAGTGATTCTGGTTCATCCACTCATTGTTATTATTATTATTGGAAGAAGAATAAGATTGGCGAAGTGAAGGAGGAGGAGGAAGGTGGAGAGAGAAGGGGGATTTGTCGTTGGTCTTACTGGTGTACATCTTCTTCTTCTTCTTTTTTTTCTTTCTTTCTTTCTTCTTTGGTCTCTATCTCTTTGCAAGTGCTTTCATTTCTTTCACAATTGGGTGGCATTGTCTTTCATTGTGAATTTGCACTTTGGGAATGACCAGGATCGTAACAATTGGTATCGGAGCGGATTTACTTGCTGGCGAGAGGTGTTAGTCACCCTAAACCTAATTCCGAATTAGGTTAGGGCTAACCTAATCTCGGATTAGGGTTGGAAGTTAGGGTTAAGAGGGGCAGTGAGGTATGTGGATACTGGCCCCACCTGGTTAAGTCATGTAGGGTCGACATCAGACCTGACCAGGTTGCTTGTGTGATTGAATGGGGTGGCGAGACACAAAGGAGGCTGATTGGAGTAAGCGAGAGGGAGTAGAGAGTGAGAGGTACTCGCACCTGGAATCTGCACTTCAAGAAGACATTGAGTGACTTTTGGGCGTCCCCTCAAAAGGGAGACTTGATCGGAGGCTGCCATATCTGCATCGAAGAGCTGCAAGTTGCTACTTTGGTCTTCAGACATCGACGAAGGATCAGGCGTTGTAACAGGGGTGTAGGGAGGCTAGGACACTTCGTGTAGTGGTAGCTAGGGGTCAGGAGGACCTATGAGAGAAGGGGGTGAGTCGTTATCCATCTTTGGAGGCCGGGCCTCACAGGTAAGTGCCGTGTGACCTGGTTATGCCCGTGGGAGGTTGCTTGGTGCTTCATGGCCTGTTGGGGTGTGCTGGGCTCTCTTCCTCTTCTCTGCGGTCTTGGTTGTATGTGTGAGCATGTGGATTGCTTTCTCACCTGATGGATGGATGGATGATGTATCTTGTTCTCAATGACAATCTTTCTATGGTGCATTGTCTTTTCACTTCTGAACGGCTGTAAGGGTAAGTTCTTGCTGAAAGTTGTCTTTTCCTTTTCAGTAGGGTAGAGGCATTTTGGGACTGACTTGGTACGCCTATCTCGTGGTCCTGGTCCATGACCTACTTGGGACCCTTCGGGACTCAGTGGGACCTGGCCCAATGGGACAAGACCTTTAAGACCCAAATCTGTTGCCGTCAACGCATCTCTTTGCCGTGCTGAATCTAGAGGGACACACGACTAGTAAGGACATTCCTTTCAAGGGGATCTTGACTGGTCTAATTGCATGTTCTCAGATACTGCCCCGCGTCTGGCTCGACAACCGTCTGCACCCCTCGAAATCTCCATTGCTGCAGTTAGTTTTCTTCGGTTGACTTATTGTGGTACATGTTCCTTGTCAGGTTAGACAAGAGGGGATCTTCAGCTAATCTGATCGGGGCCGTTCCTTGAGTCAGTCCTCTCTTTCATTTGTTTCTATTTATTGATTTATTTATTTTTATTCTGCTGCGTGAATGCCATTCTCTAAGCCCAAATGAATTGTCGCTCCGGCTAGGAGTTCTATCTTCTGCTCTTTGTGATCTATCTGTTTTTTTCCTTTATCTGAACTACCTATGTCCAACATTGAGACGCCTGCACAAAAAGCGGAAAGAGAGAGAAGGGAGAGTAAAACTATTCTTTTTGAGAGTGTGAGGAGGGGTAAGAGGAGTGTTCGTCCAAACGTGAGCAAAGTGCGGACCCCTCTTGAGAGACCTACTGA